CCCCCCCCGCGCATTTATTACTTGCATTTAATTAATTCCTTCTTTGCGTTTCCTTTCCTGTTAATCTTTGGGTGACTGCTTTGTACATATGGCAATCTGATAATGAGGGAGTTTATCCTTATTCTCTACACCTCTTCATCGCGGTGTCCACCCGTCTCGTGCCTGGGATATCGATCATCTTCCCTCGGGGAGGAGGACAAGGTAAGAGGGGTGATAAAAGATTTGCAGTGTCCCACGCCATTAGGAATAGCTTTTATTCCTTGGCACTGTTTAATCAACTGTTCTATCAAGTCATGCTGTTTAAGCAACCACATCAAAAGAACATACCCTCTTTTGTATAGGTCCTATACTCCTTCTAGCTGTCTTCTCACATGCACGCAGACGGGAGATAAAACTTCAGTTGGGTTTTTAAGAGCGTGGAGCAGGTATTTAGCTGTTGTACAACTTGTTTCTGCTACTCAGCTGGTTGATAAAAATCTAAAAGCCAAGCTGCTGGCTTTCTAACTTTTTACCCATTCCCAAGTCAAAACTCCTAAAATTAATCAGGAGTTGAATCCATGATTCACTGAAACTCTGCAAAGAAACACAAATAAGAGAAGAAAAGTATGGGCTAAAAAAGAGCGAAGAGCACCAGTTAGAGTCGGTGTGAGAGCTTCGGGTCACTTCTTTCGGGCTTTTTTCTAAAGTTTACAAGTCAAGATCACTTTGTCCCTGGAAAGTCCGTGCTGTCCTGCTTGTTACAGTTTAGGGATATGCAACTTTTTTACCACTTAAAAACTAATTTTAAAGTCCATTTTCACGTGGCTTAAGTTGATTACAACTCAGCTCGATGTCACAGACCGGAAAGCTCCCATATAATTGCTCGCCCCAAAGAGATTTTTGAAAAAAAACAAACCCAAACTTAAATAAAGTTGATTTTTTGTTGTTTTTCTGAGGAAGTGGACTTTGAATGACTTCAGCATGCCGCTCTGGTGTTTTTAAGAACACCTAAAAAACTCCTGAAAGTTTCTGGATCCTAGGACAAATTGCATTTTCTTAGGAGCAAAAGTAAACGAGGTCTTTACAGGCAGAGCAGTGTTTGTTCATATGGGACTCTGCTTTTCTGCCTAACCTGCTCTATCAGCCCCATCTCTGCAGTTTTGCTCGTCTCTCAACACCTTTGTCTGAGTAGTAGCTTCTGGAGATCAGGATAAAGACATCACTTGCCACGCTGCACGAGATAACAATTAATTTAACATTAAACTTATCCCCTTTCCATTCACTTCGCTTGGATCGATCTCTGTTAATTGTGTTTGCGGATGCTTTCAACACTGTGCTTTTCTTAAAAACTTAATGACACCCCGCAAGGAGGTGTGAGAGTCCGAACCGCTCCTCTCCCACTTCCACCAAAGAAACAAAGAGTACAGCCCCAGCGTGCTCAGGAGACCATCTATTTTTCATCAGTTGACTTTTTATGCAGTGCTGAATGTACGATATTGTTTTAAACTGGGTGATAGTCCTGGTTTTATTAAAAGAAAGAAAAAAAAAGTGTGGTTCGGATCTCTCCACTTTGCAGTTGTGTGACACGCGAGACAGACGCGCTAACTTCACCAGCCGCCGCATCAGGCTGACTTGTTTCTGCCTGGAAAGTGGTCATTTAGCAGCTAAAAGGCGAGTGTAGTTAAAAATGTATGTCTTCAGGAGGGAGCGCAATCTCCCTGTTCAGGGGGAAGAAACCTGTTACAAAGCCACTTAGGTGGGTGCGCTCTGAAATGGCACTATCCTTCCCTTCCCCCCCCCCCCCCCCGGCTTTTAATTTCCCAACAACTTTTTTTTTGTTCCAAAAAAAAATCTGAAAAAAAATTTTTTAAAAAAAAAAAAAACCCCCCCAAAAAAAAAAAAACCCAACAGCGTGTAATTGATGTTATCCCAAGAAAGCGCGATCTCCACCCCTCTCAGCTCCAAGCCCTTCAGGTAAAAGGAAAAAAAAAAATCTTTCAAGAATTTGTTGCCTTTTTGAGGGTTAAAACATCAGAAGACAAGCTTGTCTCGCCTTGGCCAATCAGCTCTCGGCCCTGGCAGCTATAATATAGAACTAAAGGCAGACTCCTCTCACAAGCGTCTTGCTTTGCTACCATTAAAATCAGACCCTTTTTTTTGTCTCTCGATCGCTGTCTCCCGACCAAACTCCGATGTGTTCCGTTATCAGCGACCTAAAGCCTGCCATTCCAGCACCTGTCTTGCTAGGGATCGGTGGATAGCATACGATTCAGAAAGCAGACAAGGACATAGGAGGAGAGAGAGCTCTAGAGAGACAGCCAGGGATAGGCACAGAGAGCTTTGAAGTAATTGGATTCAATGGACGAAATGCTGCTGTTGACAAGAATTCTCTCGGTGGGCTTCGTCTGCGCTCTTTTAGTCTCCTCTGGGCTGACTTGTGGACCAGGCAGGGGCATTGGAAAAAGGAGACACCCCAAAAAGCTGACCCCTTTAGCCTATAAGCAGTTTATTCCCAATGTGGCAGAGAAGACCCTAGGGGCCAGTGGAAGATATGAAGGGAAGATCACAAGAAACTCCGAGAGATTTAAAGAACTAACCCCAAATTACAACCCTGACATTATTTTTAAGGATGAAGAGAACACGGGAGCTGACAGACTGATGACTCAGGTAGAGCGACAGAGATACCTGTATTTGTGTTTGTTAACCTCTCTGAGCAATCCTAAAGGACGCATCTGTCTTAGTATTTTTTGAATGTAAATACCATCTTATCCAGACAAGTTAGCAGGGGCTGGAGCTGGAGCTATCTAGCTGTTCGGTGGGGGAATCTGTGTGATACTTACAGTCATTACCGTGCCATGGCGTTTCCTGTAACTTGGTCGGAGCTTGCTGTTTGCATTTGTCCCCAAGGATGCACTTTGATCAAACGAATCGCGTACAGCTCAGAGGACCCCAAGCGTGTGGTGACCGCCAGGCCACTCACTCCTTCTTACAAACCCAGTCCTCCGTTGCTACGCCTGCTGACTTGATTTTTTTTTTCCTGTATTTTATTTAATTTCTCTTTTTTTTTTCGCTTTGTTTTATTTTAGCCTTCATTATTGTTAATTTTTTTTTCCACGCGAGCGTATTCTAAATTTAGTAGGCATGCAGTCGTGCACTCACAAAAGGCAGCTGAAGCCGGATCGACCATTCCTCTCCTGATTCCGTGTTATATAGCTCGTATTGCAATACCATCATTCGCAATTGTGCCCATCAGAGCGTAAATATATTGATATTTCTTTAAGGATGCTCGCCACCAATGCTCTGGTACTTCCATAGGGGAGGGACTTGCAACTTAGCGGCATTGCATCACCTTCTGTTTTAAAAAATCTGATGGCACAAGGTTTACAACTGGGTAAATATTGGAGCTCGGGCGGAATCACATTGCGGAACCATTTTATGCAAAAAAAAAAAAAAAAAAAGAGAGAGAGAGAAAACCTCTCCGAGAGTCACCTCGTAATTATTATTCACGCTCGACCGAGAGCTCGGTGAAGTCAATTGCGCTGGCAGTCCCGGAGTTTCTGAAACTACATGCGATCCAGGCGCTGGAAATGGGTTTCCTCCAAATATAGGTCAACAGCGCTTTTTTAATATTAATACGTTTAAGCCCCACCTTCAGCGCTAGACCAGGACTCGCCTGGAAGGACGAGGCGGG